CGGCAACGGCACACTGAAATTTCCATTAAAAAAAATACAACAAAGAAGGAAGGGCCGGCAGCCCTAACACAGAGATTTGATGCCATTAGGGACAGGTTTTCCGCTTGTTGTCCTTGCTGACAGGTAGTAGTTGTACAGTTACCACATATTATGTGTAATTTTGGAATTAGATGTCTTAAAATACACTGAACAAAAATCTAAACGATCCATGTCAAATATAAGAGTTTTATGAACATTTGGGTTACGCAATATATAGAGAAACTCAAAATATATTTTCAGTAATTACTGATCTTCATATCGGCATTGATAACATCGTGGTATGGCCATTTGTAGCGGATTGACAGTCCTTTGAACATGATAGGGGTCAGGTTGAGGAGTTTGATTTTTCAGTATCTTGTGTGTCCGCCAGCTGCGTCTCTCAGAGCAACACATCTTCTTCGCATGGAGTTGATCAGATTGTCTATGGTGGCCTGTGGAGTGCCACACAGAGCTGACCCACATTGCCTGGAACTGGAACACTGTCCCTATCCAGAACATCCCAAAGATGCTCTATTGGGGACATGTCTGGCGAATATGCAGGCCAGTCCAGAACTTCAATGTCCTCTGTTTGAAGGAATTCCATGCAGATGCGGGCAACATGAGGTCGGGCATTGTCATGTTGAAAGGTGATGTCATACTGGCGCACAAACGGCACAACAATTGGGGTGAGAATTTCATCCTGATATCTTTGTGCATTAAGGTTCCCTTCAATGAAGTGCAATGGTGTTCTATGCCCGTATGTGATAACTGACCACATCATAATGCCACCACCTCCATGGGCAACCCTGGGCATAACATTTGCATCTGCAAACCGTTCACCCACGCGTCACCAGACGCCATCTGCATGATACAACTGGAACCTGGATTCATCCGTGAACATCACTCTTCTCCAGCGTGCCAAGGGCCATTGGACATGTGCATTCGCCCATGCAAGTCGGTTCTTACGCCGTACAGCAGTGAGATCCAGACCACGATGAGGGCGCCGAGCATGCAAGTTTGCTTCTCGTAGGCGGTTACGAACAGTCTGAGGTGTGATGCGTCTGTTGTGCAGACCAATAGTCTCATCAGCTGTGTGTGTCGCTGGTCTCAGCCGATCCCGCAGATGGACGAGCCGGATGTGGCGATATTGTGCTGGAGTGGTCACACGTGGCCGACGAGGATGAGGTCGAATTGCAGTACTGCCAGTCTATTGGAAACGAACTCTTAAACGATCTATGGTCCGATAATGGACATTGAGCCGTGCAGCTACTGCTCTGGTGGACATCCCTGCATCCAACATGCCAATGGCACGCTCCCGCATAACTTGCGACATCTGAGGCATAATGACTTGTGACATAATTTGACATTTTGGGGCGGCCTTTTATTGTCCCCAGTCCAAGGATTGTCCAGCTGTTGCTCATTTTGTCTGATCACCCACTGGACATGCCCCACCCATGCACTGAGTAAAAAAACAACTCACTGAGTAATGCTCACTGACAGCAAGTTAGATTAAAAATTATACACAAATCAAGAGACATATTACTTTTGTACAATAAAATGTCAGCAAATGCTCATTTATAGTTGTTAACTCCACATGGCAACAATATTTTACATGGGGCGTTTATATTTTTGTTCAGTGTATATTATTTGGAGAGACTCTGTGGGAGCTCCAGAAAGTGCGTCTTACTCCATTGTGGCTCGCTAGTGCCCCCCAGGTTGCTGGTCTTCATGGCAAACTTCCTCAGTCTCCTCAGGAAATATAGCAGCTGGCGAGCTTTCCTGGCCACAGTATCTGTGTGTAGCGACCAGGACAGATCCTCTGTGATGTGGATGCCAAGGAACTTAAAGCTGCTGACCCTTTCTACCTCAGCTTTGCCGATGTGGATGTGGATGTGGATGTGGATGGGGGGGGTCTGTCTCCCTGCTGTCTCCTGAAGTCCACTATCATCTCTTTAGTTTTACTGACGTTCAGGGAAAGGTTACCGTCCTCACACACAGGTTCCAGTTAGACAGCTGTTGTGATGTGTTGAATTCTCAGAACTGTAACTACCTTCTTCAAGGAAAAGTATGTGATATGAGCCTGGGCAATGCTGAAAATGATGTTTCAAATATTGCTTTCTCGGTATAATGGGAAAAAAATATACTGTGATTTAAACAGAAGTAAGATATCAAAGCAACTATTATGACGTGTAATGTCCTGTTAATACCACTGAAACACACTAATAAGATACTGCGAGGTGTGACTGTGTATGTTGAATCTGAGGAGTAAGTACTTAATTGGATGAGACTGTGATGTGAAAAAAGACTTTCTGGGGAAGAAAAGGATTTGTACTTGGCTCAATGCATTTGCACATTGAATGTGAACTTGCAAAAGTATTTACTGTCTGCACTGGAAAATATCTTGTTTTTCTGAAGTACTACACCAGATGAGTACTTGTACTGCAATTGCCTTAGAAGTTTTCCATTTAAGTGTAATAGTGTGTGAATCTAGTTTTCTAGTTAATCCAAAGTAAGGATCTTAATTTTGTTATGTGGATCTGAACATTTTTTCAATAGATACTTTTTTTTTCACTTTCACTTTCCTGATCATCTGTTACAGCTTTAATTGTCCGTCTTAATATGAATCTTAATAACCTCTTAGATCAACTTGCAAGCTTTTGTGAGTGATCATCCATATCCCATGGTCTTTTTCAGCACATGTAAATAGCCAACTTTTTCATCATGTATGACTTATAGTCATTCATATTCTTTGACTGATAGGTCTTTATATGCTTTGATGTTGTCAAGAACTGGGTTACCCACAACATCTTGTAGAATACAGAATCTTTTCTGCCCGGTTGGTTACATATCATAGTGATATGAATCGTTTCCTTTTTATACACAAGCTATCACTTGCTACTGACAGACAATTAGTCATGATGGTCAAGAGTCAAGCAAGAATCACCAAAAAGTATAGGTCTGCCATGAATCAAATGCTGCTGGAACACAGTCAAGTGTGTTTTCCTGTGGAAACTGTTGAGAACCTGTAAATCAGCAGAATGGTTCAACTTCTTGGCCTCAGTAGGGAAAATGAATAATAAGCCCTGCTGAATCCTACATCAGCCACAGCAAGGCATTGTTTTGAATAAACTTTATTAAGTAAACTCTGCACTTTTAGGATGGTCAGGATGGTCAAGAGTCAAGCAAGAATCACCAAAAAGTAGGTATACGATGAATTAAATGCTGCTGGAACACAGATTACAGTGTCCACAGTCAAGTGTGTTTTACATCACCATGGGATAAGAAGCTGTCATGCAAGAAGAAAGTCCTTCCTCTAGAAACAAAAATCTAAGGCTTGACTAAAATTGGCTGCTGATCACATGGACAAAGAAAAGGCCTGTTTGAGATTTTTGGCCACAATGACCAGAAATATGTTGGGAGGAGAGAAGTTGTAGACCATAACCCCAAAGAGATCATGCCTACCATCAAGCATGGTGGTGGCAGTATTTTGCTGTTGGGCTGTTTTGCTGCCAGTGGAAGTGGAGCTCTACAGAAAGTTAATGGAATCATAAGGAAGGAGGATTACCTCCACATTCTCCAGGAAAACCTAAAGTCAACAGCCAGGGATTTGATCTTCAACACAGTTGGGTGTTCCAACAAGACAATGACGCCAAGCACACATCAAAAATGGTAAAGAATAGGATAAATCATGCCAGGACCAAGGTTTTGGTCCTGCCTGAAACTGTATCAAGAACCTGTCGACTGTGACAAAAAGCCAACAAATGTTGTTAAACTGTACTAATTAGTTACTTGTGGACAGCTACCAAAACCACCCAGCTGAGGTGAAAGTGGCCATGGGACATTTAACCAAATTTTAGCATTGCTGTATGTGAAATTATTACTCAGCAGATCCATTTAAGAATTATAATGTATGACTACTTTTTGTGGCAAGAAAGTTCTAGGAGCCAATGTAAACTGAAGACTGAAGAGTATGTAAACATTGTTCATGAGTGTAATTCCTATAAGTGTAGCTAATTAGTGCTTGAAGTTACACAATTAATGAAATGGAGATGATCTGACTGCAGTAAATGTGTCTGAAGTGATGGTAGTATACATACGCCTGTATTGGGAAGGATTAGATACGAGTGAATCAGTACTCCTGCCTCTAACTACACCATGAATGCAAAAGAACACTCCAAGCAACTATGTAAAAAGTCAGGGGACAGATGCAGAAACATTTGAAAATCACTAAATATTCCCTGGAGTACAGTTATATGCATCACTAAGAAATGGCAGGAATATGGCACATGCATCAAATTTTCATGGGCGTCAATGTTTTAGGGGAGACTGGCAAACAGAAAGCTACTGTTAAAAAAAAGCTATTGTAACAATTGTCAACAAACATGGCCTAACCTAACTCTACTAATTAACATAGTGATAAAACATTTGCTTCGGCTGAACAGAAATGTGGAAAACTAAAAATCTGATATACTGTATTTAACATGAACTGCTGGGGAATAGGGCTGCAAGGTGGTTGGTGGTTAGCACCGTTGCCTCGCAGCAAGAAGGTCGCCAGTTCGCTTCCTGGTGAGGACACCCGGGATCTTTCTGCTTGGAGTCTCTATGTTCTCCCCGTGCAGCGTGGGTTGTCTGGCTTCCTCCCACTGTCCAAAAACATGCTGAAATTAATTGATTCTAAATTGTCCGTGAATGTGAGTGTACTTGGTTGTCTGTCTCTCTGTGTAGCCCTATGATAGACTGGTTACCTGTCCAGGGTGTCCCCTGCCTTTACCCTGAGTCAACTGGGATAGACTCCAGCCCCTTGTGACCCTTGTGAGGATTAAGCGGTGTATAGATGATGGATGGATGCTGGGGAATAGGAGAGGAACATTTGACATTGCCTGCACAACTGGTAACTGCTCCTACTACACCCTCTTGTGGAAACCGTTGAGAACCTGTAGATCTGAACACAGCTGAATCCCACACATCAGCCACAGCAAGGCAGTGTTTTGAATGATCTTTATTAAGTAAACTCTACACTTTTAGTATTGCTTTTTTTTTTTTTTTTTTATTCTTTTCACTCTAAATTAGAACCTTTTGCAATCAGCACATATAGAACTTTTCAATCAAGCTACACTTTTGAGGAATACAAAAATATCACAGTACATTTTCTACTAAGTCACCTTCACCTGTGAGGTCCAGAACCAATTACACAGGCAGGTTCAGAACCACAGCAGCTGCCTGGACAGAGAGCATCAACATGTCTTAAAATAACAGCACCATGGTCTATGAGCTAACCACACTGAAGAAAGTGGCCACTCAAACACACTCATGGGTTTTAATTTCTTGACAGGTCTGGGTGAGTGTTTGGACTCATGTGCATTACACAGGTCAGCAAAGCTGCACTTTCATAGCAAAACCACAGTCCTGTCTCATTCAAGGGCCACTGTGTTACAAAGTCATCTTCTCTGAATGTATGATCTTTTGAGGAGTAGATGCATTGTCCACATGTGAGACAGTCTACAAAGGAGTCACTGTAGTGGTATCGCAAAATCACAGCTGTAGCCTCACTGAGACAAGTAAGCAGCACAGTGAATTTGGGATACTGAACACCTCCAAGAGCCTACAAATTCAGATGAAAAAACACAGACACAGTAGTCAGTGGTACAGATACATTGGCATGTATTCTGTTTTGATGTAGAATCTTTGAAGAAGCTGGCTGAAAAATGAGCCGCAGCCACTGTACCCCTGTATGGAACTGACTTATCCATTGCGTATTCTTTGAATTTAAAATGTACATTTGCCAGACCAACTACTTAGACCCCAGTTTTCTTTCTTCTGTAAAACCAAACCAGTCACACAGTGTAAAAGCACGCATTTCAGTTTTGTGTGGCTTCCTTAAGTTTGTTTTCGATTGTGGCCAGAATGTTTGATTCATCAGAGATGTCGATCGGCCAATCATGGTCGTAGTGGTGTGGGAGAGGCTCACTCCTGTTTGGTGTACTGGAAAAGTCACAGAGGACACTGCACCGCGACGTGTGGTTGGACAAACTACACAAAGATAAGACTCACAACATGTTTTTTCAGGCCCTGCTCAGGGTGCACCTTGCTTTTTGCTCTATGTCAGCTAGAATAGGTGACACCCCACAGGATAAAGTGGGTGTGGCTAATGAATGGACAAATCAATATAATTTGCTTGTTCAAAGTGTTTTCAAACTATATGTTTTGATTGTACAAAAAGGGGAGCACTGGAAGAATGAAGATGAGGACTATCTGATCAGTTTGGCAAATGTATATCTGGCTAACTTTACCACCTCTCCTAAAAAAATGTGCACACCTGGTTCCCTAAACTTGCCAGCAGGGGACTGTCCTCTACACAGATCTACTAGTTTACGTACTTTACCTAGCCAGTGATTCGGGAGAGAAGAGCTGGGTATGGAATTTCAATACTTCTTAAGAGTCATTCTTGGGTCATGTTATACAAATTTTTATGCTGATGTAAATAAGCTTGGATTTTGTATAGTTGTTGTGGTAGGAAGGCATTACAGACTAAATCTTTGTCAAATGTCAAATCCTTTGTGAAGCATATTTATATTTAACAAAAATGGATTGGTTCTGAAAGTTTGTGGAGCTTCATAAGATGATATCTTGATTGTGGCATCTACTAGGGAAAAAAAACCTGTCTGTCATGCTGCCTTGGGGAGCTCTGAAAAAATAGATATCATAAAAAATGTAAAATGAAACCCGGCCTGACAAGTCATAACAAAAGACTAACCTAGATGTTCTAAGTGTTGGACAGTCAGGAAGAATGCGGCTGGAGAAGCCCTTGTGGGCTCTGCTTGGCTCAGCAGGGGTTACCTTACTTCTGGTTTTGGTATGGAGCTGTGTTCACTCGCCAGGCAAGCTGAAATGTAAATATGGATCCCACACAACAACAACAACAACAACAACAACAACATCACCTCCAACATCGTCTCATTCTCTTCCCATTCCTTTCTGCATACATGGTATAGTCTGTACAAAGTATCAAAAAAGATTAAACAAAATTCTAAAAAATCCTCACCCGTACTGACAATAAAATTTCCAATATTAAATCTTGTTTCCTTGCAAATCTTCCTTTTGTCCCACGCTGCAAAGATTCAGATCCATAGTGACAAGCTTTTGGTGAATGAGGTCTCAGCACCTCCCACTCTGGACAGGAATGTTGCAGCATGAAAATGAGTTGCTCTCACTGGTTTTCATTCAAAACTAAACTAAACAAAACAAAACTACTAAACACTGGACATGAAGTGAGTAGAGACGGTGAGAGGTCCCCATCAGTCTTCGGTTTAGGAGAAATTAAGACAGGAAGGAGTACTATGTAATTCCACAGTGACACAGATATGAACCATGATAAAATTAAAGTGTGGAGTCAGTCAGGAATAAGGACAAGTAGGAAGGTGAACAGGCTTCTCCACTGAGCTCAGGGTGAATGAACAAATATTAAAAAAGGAAGTCTGTGGGTTGGTACAGGAGCCGACTGTGCTGCCTGTGTACACATTGCTAAATCCACATGGCAGGGAGCAGGGTTTTTGACAGAACCAGACAGCATAAATGTGGCCAGCTCAGTGTCGTGGCAGTAGCAATGCTGGAGGCTCTTGATGCTACTCCTCACGCTCAGTCCCACTCAGGGGGAAAAGGTCGCCATCTCCAGGGATATGCGCTGCCACAGCTCCTTGGTTTGCTTGCCTCTCTTAAGGTTCTGCAGCACATCATTAAACTGCATCATACCTACAGGTGTAAGGCAGAAAGCACCTCGAGCACTACGAATGATGTTGACAAAGTCGTCGTAGTCAGCAGGTGTCAGATGGATAAGCCGGTGGTGAATGTACTGCAGAGACAGAGGGAGGGATAAGTGCGAGGACACTCTGGATTCACTCACTGTCTTAAATCAGTGGAACAAACGTGAAGTTCACATCTACCATAGCTTCTGTGTCGACTGAAAATGAGTTGCCACGATTAATTTTTTAAACAAGTTAAAGCAGGATATGATATCAGAATAAGTGAAATAAAACTGTACTTATTTTCAGACAAGACCATGACCAGCACAGCCCTACTGAGTTGATGATGCCTGTCTGTAATTAGTCACAACAGCTTCATCATGCCTTGCTTATCTGATATTTTCTTCCAGATTAAAACAACAAAAAAACATTTTTCTTACTGACTCTGAATAGAGCTAAGACTGCAGAGCGGATGTAGATTACCTGCAGGTAGGCCTGTTGGCAGCGCTGGACAAGCTGGTGGAAAGCAGGAGTTCGGAGGTGGGCATGGATATGGGCAGGGTTCAGCCTCTGCAGAGCTTCCATGATGATCTCCTGCAGGACAAACGGACTGAGGACACCTTTTGCTGCTCCAACACAGAACTGGTATACATAGTTGACTCCTGACAGGATAGAGGCAAAGAAAAAAAAGGAAAAGAATAAATAAGACATAAAAAAGAAGAAGCAACAGTTATCATTCCGGCACCGTGCGCAGCGGCAGCCTGTTACAGTAGCTCCTGTTCAGTGTTGGTGATTTTTATAATTTTGCTTACTTTTTTGGTAAATTGTTTGTTTTCAAACTTGGATAACTTTTCAGAATCTAAGGGTACTTTTTTACTATGAAGTTTGTCGCAAGTTGCTTCGTGGTTCTCCTGGTTATTTTTACCATCTGTTTACCGGGAAGCCACGCGGACAGGGGTAGGACCATTGTCTACAGTCGTGAACAGCTGGTGGCGATGCGACAACCACTGCTGCTGCCTGGTGCGAGGTCCGAGATCCTGGAGGAGTTGCGCAAGAAATGTCGGGGTTGGAGGGCTGGAGCTAAGCAGAAAGCAAAGAGGAGGAAATACAAGCCCTCCGTGTCGGCGGTTATTATGGGGAACGTGTGGTCTCTGGGGAGTAAGATGGACGAGCTCAGCACCCTGGTTAACACCCAGAGGGAATACTGTGAGTGTAGCGTGCTTTGTTTCACGGAAACATGGCTGCATTCACTCATTCTGGACCACAATGTGACCATACTCGGCTTCAGTACGGTTCTGCTTGTGAACGAGAGGTGGTGTAGTCCCAGTCATGTGTCAAGGAATGTTTCTGTGGCCCGGACATTGAACTGTTGGCTGTTGGGATGCGCCCGTTTTATCTGCCCAGAGAGTTCACCTCCACTATTATTGTCGCTGTTTACATCCCTTTGTCAGCCTGTGACACTATTCACACTACTGTGGCTAAACTCCAAAACCAACACCTGAATGCCTTTGCAACTATTACTGGGGATTTCAACCATGTTACACTAGACAAGACTTTACCAACTTTTCACCAGTATGTTGACTGCCCTACAAGAAACAATAGAACCCTGGGGCCTCATTTATCATCAGTGCATACACACATATATGTGCGTAGAGCGTGCGTATGAATATTCCTACACAAACTATGGAATTTATCAACTTGTACTTATACTTAGGAATGTGCGTAAATATACGCACAACTCTGACCATGCATACACACATAATCTAGCGGTAGAATAGTGAAACTACAAATAGAAAGCATTCAGGGATTTTGACCACCCGCACATTCCAGCGTGAGGTTGAAGACATATGTGGCATTTCCCAGCCACCACGAGCAGGATCAAGCCAGCAGTGTTGGATGCCATAACTCCCCTGGCCCCAGCCTACATCCAGGTCCCTTACAGCCATCACCGATGAGCGTAAATCAAACAGGGACTTAACGCCATCGCTGGATTCCCAAACATAAGTGGAGCCATAGACTGCACCCACATAGCAATCAAAGCAGCATCACTAAATGAGCTGAATTTTGTAAATAGACAAGGGTTTCATTCAATCAATGTTCAGACAATTTGCGATGTGTATTTGTCATTATCCAACGTTGTTGCCCGGTGGCTTGGAGGAACGCACGATTTATTCATTGAGCAGAACAGTTCTGTGGGTCTCCAAGCAGGAGCTGCTGAAGACGGCTGGATTATTGGTGAGTGTTACAGAGTCCATCCATCCATCCATCCATCCATCCATCTTCTCCCGCTTATTCGGAGTTGGGTCGCGGAGGCAGCAACCTGAGCCGAGCCGCCCAGACTTCCCGATCCGCACACACCTCCTCCAGCTCTTCCGGGGGGGACCCCTAGGTGTTCCCAGGCCAGTCGAGAGACATAATCTCCCCAACATGTCCTGGGTCTTCCTCCCAGTGGGACGCGCCCGGAACATCTCCCCAGGGAGGCATCCAGGAGGCATCCGAAGCAGATGCCCGAGCCACCTCAGCTGGCTCCTTTTGACGTGGAGGAGCAGCGGCTCTACTCTGAGCTCCTCCCGCGTGACTGAGCTCCTCACCCTATCTCTAAGGGAGCGCAACACTGCAGACACTGCACCGATCCGTCTGTCAATCTCACACTCCATCCGTCCCTCACTCGTGAATAAGACCCCGAGATACTGGTCTGACCAGCTTCTTCCCCTGCCAGCGAATCCAACTCACCACCAGGTGGTGATCGGTGGACAGCTCTGCCCCTCTCTTTACCCAAGTGTCAGAGACACGTGGCTGGAGGTCTGATGATACAACTACAAAGTCGATCATCGACCGCTGGCCTAGGGTGTCCTGGTGCCACGTGCACTTGTGTACATCCTTGTGCTCGAATATGGTGTTCGTGATGAACAATCTGTGGCTAGCACAGAAGTCCAGCAACAGAACACCACTCTGGTACAGATCGGGGAGACTGTTCCTCCCGATCACCCCTCTCCAGGTCTCACTGTCATTGCCCACGTGGGCACTGAAGTCCCCCAGTAGAACAAAGGAGTCCCCAGTTGGGGCACTATCTAGTACTCCTCCCAGGGACTCCAAGAAGGCCGGGTACTCTGCACTGCTGTTGGGCCCACAGGCCGAGACAACAGTGAGAGACCTGTCCCCAACCCAGAGGACATGACCCTCTCGTTCACTGGGGTAAACTCCAACACGTGGCGGCTAAGCTGGGGGGCAATAAGCAAACCCACTCCAGCCCGCTGCCTCTCCCCGCGGGCAACGCCAGAGAAATGGAGCGTCCAGCCTGTCTCCAGGAGTTGGGTTTCAGAGCCCAGGCTGTGCGTGGAGGTGAGGCCGACTATATCTAGTCAGTGAGGTGACGTTCCACATCCCAATAACCAGAAGCTGTGTGCGCGGACCAGGCCGCTGAGGCAGTCCCTCCTGACTGCCGCCCAGTCCTCTCTGCACCCGACTCCTATGATTCCCTCTGCGGGTGGTGGGTCCGCAGGAGGGCGTTACAGAGTGTGAGATATTTTAGCTGGATTTAGTTTGGTTATTAAAACATCTCATCTGTAGTGATCAGGGTTATCCACTGGGTGAAAGTTCGGTATTAATTTGTCCTCCCCCAGTTGCAGTCAGTTCTCTTTCATGGGCTGTGATGTGTTTTTTGGCACTGAGCTTAAAGTCAAACCACCAATTTTGCCAGCGATCTCTTCTGACCCACCAGAAATAACTGTGGTGGTTATCTTGTCCCATGCAGCATTTTTTTCTTTCGCTACTTATCCCAACATTTCACGCACCAAACAATATTTTCTGGTTTGCTTCAGCCTCGCTGAGAAGTGCCTCGATCTCAGTTTCAGAAAAAATCCTCTTTTTTCACCCTTTTTGCCACGATGATGACGACAACTGAGGAAAAAAATTAATCTTCACTTGCTTACAAAGAGGTTTTTCGTTTCTGAAGGCAACGTGCACAAGCACGGAGGTTAAGAACAAGTGGGATTTATCAACACTGATGTGCGTACGACCCCCATATGCACGTTTGATAAATACAGATTTCTTTGTACTTACGCACACTCTAAATTTCATGCGTACGACAGAATTTAGAACCTTTTCTACGCACTGATGATAAATGAGGCCCCTGGACCTCCTGTATGCAAATGCTTGGGATGCATACAGTGTCACTGGGCTGCCTCTGCTGGGCAGAGCAGATCATCGTCTTGTGTTCCCCAAAGTATGTCCCTCTTGTTCAACACCAGCTTGTTTGCACAAGGACAGTGACGAGGTGGACTCAGGACGCACTGCAGGACTGCTTTGAGTATACAGACTGGGATGTGCTTTGTGAACCACATGGGGAGGACATCAACACCATGACAGACCTCATCACAGAATATATCAAATTCTGTGAACACAACACCTTGCTGGCCCGGACTGTATGCTGCTTCCCGAACAACAAGCCCTGAATTACCAGTGACCTGAAGGTACTTCTCAGCAAGAAGAAGAAAGCTTTCAGAGCTGGGGACAGAGAGGAGTTGAAGAGGGTGCAGCGTGAACTCAAGGTGTAGCTGAGGGAGTGCAGGAACTCCTACAGGAGGAAGCTGGAGGCCAAGCTCCAGCCAAACAGCTCAAAGGAGATGTGGGCTGGTATGAAGGAAATCACTGGGTTCAAGGTGAAGGACAGAGTACCAGCTGGCAGCGTGGAGAGGGAAAATAAGCTGAACTTTTTCTTCAACAGGTTTAGCTCACAGCCTACTGCCTCCCCCTCCTCACACACTGGCCTCCATTCACCCTCACTACTCTTAACGCTTCCCCCCTCTGCCCTTACGTCCCCTCTGCTGAGCTCCACATATGCAACCCCCCCATCACAGACGATTGTCTCCCGTCTGGCTGTGACTGTTGACCAGGTGAGGAGACAACTTGAGAGATTCCATCTTGGGAAGGCTGCAGACCCTGACGGCATCAACCCCATGATCCTCAGGACCTGTGCTGGCCAGCTGTCTCCAGTCCTGTGTCACCTCTTCAACCTGAGACTGGACCAGGAGAGAGTACCAGTGCTGTGGAAGACCTCCTGCCTGGTCCCGGTTCCTAAAAAGTTGTCTACATCAGACCTGAGTGACTACCGACCCGTTGACCTCACCTCTCATGTTATGAAGGTGCTGGAGAGGCTGGTCTTGACCCACTTGAGACAGCGGGTGAAACCACCACTGAACCCTCTGTAGTTCGCCTAACAGCCACATCTTGGTGTGGATGATGCCATCATCTACCTGTTGCAGCGTGCTCTCTCTCACATGGAGGGTGTTGGGTGCACTGTGAGAGTCACATTCTTTGACTTCTCTAATGCATTCAACAACATCCAGCCATTTCTGCTGAGAGAGAAGCTGCAGGTGATGAGTGTGGACATGCCCACCATCTCCTGGATCACTGATTACCTGACAGACAGACCGCAGTTTGTCCGTCTGGGCAGCGCGCTGTCTGATGTGGTGGTTAGAGGTACAGGAGCTCCACAGGCACTGTGCTGGCTCCTTTTCTGCTCACCTTATACACCTCTGAATTTCAGTACAAATCCGGGTCATGCCACTTGCAGAAGTTCTCTGATGACTCGGCAGTTGTAGGGTGTATAAGAGATGGACAGGAGGAGGAGTACAGGGCTCTGGTGGGTGATTTTGTAGAGTGGTCCGGTAGGAATCGTCTGCATCTCAATGTGGCCAAGACCAGGGAGACAGTGATCGAAGAAGACAACAGCTACAAAGGCACTACACATCCTGGGTGAGGACATCGCCATGGTTGAGGAGTACAAGTACCTGGGTGTCTACCTCGACGGCAGACTGAGCTGGAGGACCAACACTAACTCCGTGTACAAGAAGGGGATGAGCAGACTCTATTTTCTGAGGAAGCTGAGATCCGCAGGATGTTGGAGGTCTTCTAAAAGTCTGCTGTGGCCAGCGCCCTGTACTTTGCAGTGGTCTGCTGGGGGAGGAGCATCAGAGCCGGTGATAAGAGCAAGCTGAACAAACTGATCAGGAAAGCCGGCTCTGTGATTGGCTGCAAACCAGAATGTTTGGAGGCTGTGGTGGAAAGGAGGACTTTAAATAAGCTGTTGTCCATCCTGGATAACCCTGACCACCCTCTTCACCCCCTGCTGGACAGGCAGCGGTGAACAGCTTCTCCAACAGGCTGGTCCAGCTCCATTGCCACAAGGACAGCTACAGGAAATCTTTCCTGCCACAAGTACTAACCCTGTTCAACTCATCACCCCTGGTAGGCAGAGAGCTCTCAGCCCTCTCTGCCTTGTAGCATCTTGTAATTCTGTCACTGAAATTGCCTTTTGCACACTTGTGTTGTACTTGTTTTGTTGCACATTACTATTTGCAGTACACTTCACACAGGACTTTTCTACCCGACAGATTACACTTATTGATCATTTTGCATTTTAAATTTTCATATTGTTTATTTTTGCCGATTTATTGGTATTTATGGTGGTGGTAGCTCTTTGTGCTGTGATCTATCTATCTATCTATCTATCTATCTATCTATCTATCTATCTATCTATCTATCTATCGATCAGATTCACATTAAACTTTCGGTGATAGAAGTGTGAAAGTAGTCATAGCATGAAAACAATTCACATACATTTTGGTTAGTGTTAACACAATGTTTTATCTACAGTCGTGACTCGATAATCCGACCCTTAACAATCCGAAAACCTTGCTATACAACAGGTTTTTAGGAAAAACAAACGGAACCCATTAAAAATAGCCTTAACATACCGACAGCCTTGGATTCCGATTACGACATGACATTTATGTCACAAATAAGGATAACAGAATATTATCTGATTTAATAATCCGACAGATTGGTGACGTTCAGACTGCAGAATTTAATGCTCATTTCAGATTTTTTTTGTGAAATCAGATTTTTTTGCGAGTTTGTTCACATTTTCAATTAAATGCGACTTGTATGTGATCTGGTGTGTGAACTTCATACGACCCAAAAGTGTCCCACATGCGCAGAAGATGACACATCGACGTCACACGCAGCGAGCGTGCTCAGTGCTTACGGAAGTAAACACGGATTGTCACGATGGAGTGTATCTTGCCCGCCACTCCCCCACCTCAACCGCCACCAATGGTGGAAACAGAACTGTGACCGCTAACTCAACCGGCATCAGCAGTCAAATACTGTCTGTGTGTTCTGGCCACTTCCCCCCTAGGGGTGCGCTCCGACGGGGTGGAATTGGCCAGAACGTGCACAATCGCAATTAGGTGTAAAATCCAGCAATGCATAGTGTTCTAACAACACACTAGTTATTATAACAACTATAAACAATACATATTAACAACAAATTACCCTTCAAGCATCAAGCCCGCCTTGTATCTCGACCTCAGTCTTGACAATCCAACAGCCTTGCTATCCGACATAAAAGAAGGTTTTACATTTAGTGTCGGATTATCGAGTCACGACTGTATTTTGTCTTATTATTATGGGCTTTATTCTTTCTGTCTTATGTTATTGTTGGATATTTAGTTTCTGCATTTTATTAATGTGAATTTATTTGCCTACTTGTAGTCTTGGAATGTTTTAATCCAGCTTCAACTATGTGAAGCACTTTGAAACTGCTGAAAAACACTTAAAACAGGAACAATTCTAACTATTTATGCTAAACTTGTTTTTTATTAATTTATGTGCAGGTTCACCTAGCCTTGCAGCGAGTCCCAGCAGCCATTTGACGTCCTCAGTGTAAGGGGGGCTCCTGGAGAAATTGTTGGGATGGTCATTGTGAGCCCTCCTGCCTAGCATCTCCAATGCCAGCATGCCTTCATAGAAAAGAACATCAGATATCACGTTTGTTCAGTTGCCTGTTGCACAGCATGCACACTAGTTAGATAAAAATATCATCACCCAGCACAAACTCCTCACCAACTCTGTAGGCAGAATGCAGGTAGTGCAGGCCCTGTTGGCTGATTGGCTGACTGTGCTGGTCGTCTTCTGCTTGGAAAGGTGTGCTGACCAATGAGGCAGGCTGGGAGGAGAGAGACGGCAGTGACGCTCCCTGTATGGCCTGGATGGTGGGGCCAGAGTGGACACTGCCGACTGTAAACACGACGACCACATGACACTGATAAGCACTGACGTACATACATGAGCTCCGTCCACGGTACCTTGTTATCCAAGACCCAAGATAGACAAAATTTAGAACAACAATGATAATGGCTGGTTTTAAATACAGTGTAGTCCTGACCTGCTACAGTGGTGCTGAGGGGCAGGCCTGTCTCAGCGTGGTAGGGATGGACGGCGATCTGGGTCATGGATGGTACAGGAACACCAGGAAAGGTGACAGCTGTGGCTGCCATAGGTGGCTGGGGGGCGGCAGCCACTGAGAACGGATACTGAGCGCCGATGAAGGCTGGGTGCATTCCCTGAGGAAGTACACACACATGCACACATAAGACGTAAGCCTGAATGATGTACACATACTTCTACTACCATAAAAAATAACACTACATTTTTTGTGTTGCAGAAACAGTGTTGCACAAAAGCAATAGATATGAAGGACGTGATTTCAAAAAAGCTAATTTTGGTCTCAACTCCTTCAGAGGAGTCATAGATGTCTTGGTGGCCTCCCTCACTAGTCTCTTTCCTGTAACTCCTTCACAGGAGTCATAGGTGTCTTGGTGGCCTCCCTCACTAGTCTCTTTCTTGCTCAGTCACTCTCTGTTTGAGGTAGGCCTACTCTGGGCAGATTTACGCATGTGCCATATTCCTTCCATTTCTTAATGATTTGCCTAACTGGACTGAAATGTTCTTGTCTTCATCCCCTGACTTGAAGCCTGACTTGAATGTTCTTTTGTCTTCAAGGTGAGTTCTATCCAGGAGTACTGATTCACTAATGACTGGACCTTCCAGATACAGCTGTCTTTATACTGCAATCACATGAGTCACATTTACTGACCTCAAATAATTTCCATTTCACTAATTGTGTGACTTCTAGCACTAACTGGCTGCACCCATGTTAGATTACGTGAGTCACTAAAATGTATACAATCACTTATTTTACATTATGTGTTTTATTTAACTGACGCTACTTTGTAGAAATCTGTTTTCAACTGGACACGAAAAAATCATTTTGGTAAATTTCTTTCAAAAAAAGCCAGGTTAAATTTCGCATGAATCAATGTTGAATCACAATAAAAAGGGCCAATGTCCAGGGGGCGGTGGAGACTTTGTACAGGTGCTGCATAAATACGGACACCATCTTTGAGGTGTATAAAAGTAGCTAAAATATATTTTCTGGAGCCCATGCAGATAATCTTAGACATCTCATATTGGAAGACATGTTTTTGCTTGTTTTGTTCAACTAACCATTTCTAACCTAAAGATACTTACTTTACTTTGCTACATTACTAAGTAAACCAGTGAAACATGCACAAATGAGAAGCTGGCCTTTGTACTTACATTTAATATATTTAATATTTAATAATATTTATACAACTAATTATTTCAGCTCCAACAGACATGAATTAAGTTATCCCATTTTCTTTTTTTTTCCAGTTTGACAACTTTTCTACCTGAGCTAAGGATGCAACACTGCAATATTTTTGAAAATTTTGAAAATGGTCAAACATGTCATGTTAAATACAATGAGTGAAGACATTGTCAAAACTGTAGTATCAAGTTCAAGCTGTGGACACGCTCTTAGCAAGGGAGTTCCACAAAATGCCAAATCATTAAATAAAGAAGAGTTCTGACCTGTGGATACGCAGCCCCAGACACAGGGAAGACAGTGGGCCGGGGGACGTGCTGCAGAGGGTGTCCTAGGTACTGGGGGGTGCAGACCGTAGGCAGATGGGCCTGGATGGTGGTGTAGGGGTGAAGACCTTGGCTGTGAGGGTGAGCCATAGCCTGCCCAGGCATGGCATGGGACTGGTAAATAGTAGATCCCACAGAGATGACAGGTACAACGGCTGTTGCAGTGACTGAAGCTGTGACTGCTGCCACCCCTGAAGACTCCATGTTGGCTCCATTGTCCAGAACACCACAGCTGGACTCTGGTGGCCTCCTGCCTGAACCCCCGTTGGCCCCACAGCGCCCAGAGGTCTCCCGCTGCTGGCCTGAGCCCCCTCCCACTGACTGCTCATACAGCCAGTACCACTGGTGAGCCACCTCAAACAGAACCTCTGGGTACACACCTCCACCCTTGGCTGCTTCCTCTACGGCCATGCAGGCCTTTTCCAGCATGACATTGTCCTGGAAGGAGACAGAGAGAGATGAGGAACGACAGGATGAGAGTTGAGGGGGTGAAAATATATGATGAGTGAAGAGGACATCGCTATGATCACTGGATTCTTCGCTTATTTATGGGACATAAATCATGAATTTTCTTTTTCACTAGTTTAAATCAGCGGAGAACACAGGGTCACTTGACAGCAACAGGTTTCAGAAAGCTTAACATCTAGTGAGACTTTAATTGATTTTAAGACCACCTTTTTAATCAGAAAAAGCATTTGTCATTGGCAACAGGTATGCAGCTGCAGTGGATGTTGGTTTATTTTGTTCCGTCACATCCCACTTCCTTTGACACGGGCACCCTGATGTAGCCCCAGGGACAGGATCACTGTTCTTACCAACATAGTGCCCTGTTGCCTCAAAGGGAACCCATGGTCTCTACTTTACCTCTGCAGCAACACACACAAACTTAGATTCCATTCTGATGAAAATGTTGATTTCCTAGCCTAATGTTTTCTGTTTTTTTGTTCCTAAACTCTTAGTATTTATATTATTATTACCCTTTCAACATGTCACATTTGTACATATCCATATGTAAATGCATCATGCCTCATCTGTGCATGTTAAAGGTGTACATAATCTTTGTTATATCCTTGTTTTTACTCCTATTGTATTTTTGTTTTGCATTTAGGTGCTGTAACTCTACATTTCCCCAGTTAGGGATTAATAAGGTTTATGTCTGTGGAGATTCTCAGTCATCCAGCTCATGGTAATCCCAGGAGCTTCAGTAGAAGTCAACTGGACTTCTCTTTAAGGTTCGTGAAAATGTTTCACCTCTCATCGAAGAGGCCTCTTCAGGCACCTCTCCTTCTCTTGGAGGAGAAGTGAAACATCTTCAAGAACCTTAAAGAGAAGTCCAGTTGATTTCTACTGATGCTCCTAGAAAAAGGTTTGTCTTTTTTTTTTCTTACACTTTGTTTACTCGCACTATACAACCACACATTTTCTTAATATGACACTATAGTGATGTACACTACAATTAACCAGTTAATGAGTATAGATATCTTGTTGGAACAAAGCACACCTACATTCAGCAGAGTCCAGTATGTTCAGTAACAGTGTGATCTATTATTTTGTAAAGCCATTCACCCAGTACCTGCTCTTTGCACTGCACCAGGGCTCTTTGAATTTCATTAGGATTAAGGGCATGAGCGTGAGGCAGACAGCTTAGGGCCAGCTCTGCTGCCGCCCGAACCATGTTGGGGTCCCTGGCCCGTGATGCTCGGTCTGCCAGTGATGCCACCTCTGGAGGGGTGAGGTGACCATCCCAACACTCCACCAAAATGTTGAGGGCAGCGCTGCCAATCTCCATGGCTTGGCCTGACAAAAGGTGAGAAGGCACAGTATGAGGACAGGAAGGGAAGTAGGGACATAAGTGTGTCAAAGGAGGCAAGAAAGTAAAGAAAAACAAAACACTGGATTCAAAAATCTGGGTTTTCACTTGTCTGACTATTTTTCTCTCACACAGACGCTTCTGCTCACCAGTGATCCAAGACACATGGGAGGAGTATGTCCTGGACAGCCAGTTGGGTGAGACAAAGTTGTGGAGGCCAAGAGCATACAGGCCAATCTCAAAGGCACAGAGGTGCAGGTTTCTATGGGGGCCCTGGTGACCCCCACTGGCTGAGGGTTGGGTGAAAATGGAGGTGGAGGAGTTTCCTCCAGCTTTGATCAGCACAGTCTTGGCCAGCTCAAAATAAAAATGGGCTGCTGCCTCTGATGGCTGGTTGGGCACATGGGGCGCGTGGCACTCTGGACGTCGTCCTTTGTACCTGAACACAGAGAAATGTATGGGAAGGTCATTAGATTGTATATTTAGCTGGTCAAAATAAAGATAGAAACAGTGTAGAGTAAGTGGTCTGTTATTTTATTTTATTTATTTTTTGCACACTTTATTGTGTTAATTTTAACTGGATTAAATTGCCATTTTTGTTTTTGTACATTTTAGCAAATCTGTTATACATAGCTGCACCACTCCAAATGGACATTTTTGACAGCAGACATTTTGACATGTGGGTGAATTCCACTAAGGGAGAGGTCCTGCATTTGCGCATTGTGGTTCACGTCATGTGACATTTTCTGAAACTAAGATGTCACTAATTCTACCTGTGCTTTTCCTACTACATCTCTATGGACATCTTCAGTGGTTCAGCAAAGCCCAGACTTAAACCCCATACAAAATTTAAAAGGACGACCTTTGTAAAGCAGTTTCCACGCACTCTGATGGGACTTAAAAGGCTCTGCCAGAAAGAATTGAATAAACTGCCTGAATCAAGATGCAAAAGAGACTTATTTAAAAAACTAAAGCTGTATTCTACACAGAGAGTACAGAGCCTGATCTCAAGAATCTAAATAAGTAATCTGGATCTGCAGCATAGTTTCATAGTTTATTGCTTTGTCCAAGCTCTACCTTCCCACCAAGGATACCAGCTGCAGATGCTGATTTGTTGAGACTTCCCTTGTGGTTTGATGGGGATTTAAATCAAGACCTCATGACCTCAGGATGATGATACATCTCTTTGGAGCAACACTGTCTCCCAGCTGCACCAATTTTACGCTCAGGAAATGCGCAGAGGATAATAAAGAATAATCTAGCCTTGAAGCTGTGGACAGGGTTCTACATTGTTTCTTATGCGCACAACTGTCTGGTGTGTGTTGACTTCTCAAGAGGAAGCAGTATCTCTTTACCATAACCTTGCCTTAATCTGTGCTAAAGGTAGTGTCCAGCTTACAAGTGGGTAAGTCTGTCTTTTGGAGGGTTTTAACATTATGAGATGTCTGAAACCAGTGGACTATGGAAAATCAGCTATGGCACAGTTGCACCATTTGAAGATGACTATGAAGTAGTCCCTGCTGTCACATTATGTACACTAACAAGTACAAAGTGCCTTTGTCATGGGAAAGGCTAGGGTTGCTTCACTGAAGTCTGTTACCATTCCTCAAATGGATTACGGTGCTGCCACCATGGTAAGTTGCATTGGTGGCTTATGGAGGAAAGAGTGCCATACGAAGCTTCAAGATTCTATCTTTTGGACAGACAGTGCATCTGTGCTCAAATATATCAGGTTTAAGACTTATACATTTAGAGTCTTTGTTGTCAACTGGGTCTCAGAAATTCTCAAGGCTTCACAATCTTCTTAAGAGGATGTACGTAGATAACAAAACTAACCCAGCTGATGTGGCCTTAAGAGATTTGAAAGTGGATGCACTTCTAAAAGGGAAATTTCTAAATGGGGATTGACAGTCTCTCCTTCAACCTGAGAGCGAGTGGTGTGTCAGTCCTGAAGGTATCCGTCAACTACCACCGGATAACCCTGAAAGAAAGCTGTGGCAGTGAATACTGTACAGGCCAAAGGAAAGGTTGATGACGTGACTCACTTGATAAATTATTTTTAGTCTTATGCTGGTCTGACAAAATCTGTAACTTGGATCTTGATGTTTAGGAGTTGGCTATTGTCTTGTTGCCACAATTGAGCATGGCTCTTGCAAAGTCTGACGTGGATGTGGAACAACAAAGATATTCATTTGAGAAAGACGTGAACAATTTCAAGAGGGAGACAGTTCCCAGTTATCTGTCACTGTAGAAGCTTCAGTAGGCTAGACTTGAAGATGTCAGGTTCTGCCAAAGAAAGAGGTTTCCAGATGAACTCTCCAGGCAGCAAAATTAAAAAAGTATGAGTGATTGTAGCCACATTTATAGACACTGCCCACTGGTTGAAGATAGTGTCCTGAGAGTTAGCAGTTGTCTAAGTGGGTCATCTATGGCTGCAGAGGCTGAACATCCTATATTACTGGCAAAGGATTCCCATATCTCAAACCATCTTCTTAAGCATATCCATCAAGAACTGGAATATGGTTGCTATACTCATGTTCTACTAACTGCAGAAGACATACTGGATCACTGGCGCTAGTACAGCCATATTACTGATTGTTTTTATGTGTATGATGCTCTACTGCAAGCTTTTTTAAAGATAAACAATTAAGTTAGCAAATGCTGCTTGTCAGTAATAACAGTGTATGTATTTCACATCGCAAGGCCCCATTTCTGTCAGTACTTTTCCAGGCACAAGGGCTCATTTCTCAGAAGATTGCTTATGAATACTTTAGCAGAAAGCATGATATGATTATTTGTGTTTTCCACCTGCAAGAACACTGACTGCACCTCGTAAGCATTCAATATAGGTTTTTACCACAGATATGTACACTGTTAACCTTTTTTTATGAAACAATTTAATGCTTTAAGTTAAAGGTATGCATCATGTGTGTACCTCTGCTAGGACGTGAACTCCTCTCTCAGCTCCAAGAGTATTGGAGGAGCAACTCTAAGGAGAGGCATGCTTTTTAGGTAGCCCTTAGCTTAGAAGTAGCTTCTGAGGATTTGAGGAAGATTAGCTTTGAGGATTGAGAAGGTTAGGCAATTAGTCCCTTGCTCTAAAGAGGATTAGCTACCTTTTATTTATTTTATAATCCTATCATGAGGAGAAGAGACCTCTTTAATACATATTGATTTCACAACAATAAGTTACTGTGTTATTATTCTTTTTAATTCAGTGATTAGACACACTGGAAAGGTATTCTTTCTCACGCACATGCTACAAAGGCATAAAGCCTTCACAAACTTTACAACCTTGCTGACAGGTAGGTTATGTAGTAGTCTTAGAAACTCGAGCACAACAGCAGTACTTGTGAATAGTAAAATGGCACCAAACCAATAGGAATACAACATCAATGGAGTTCATCAAAACCTGTCAGCATTGTGATCTATAAAGCCTGCATGCATACAGATTTACACATGTGATTATGATTTGGCATGCATCATTTTTACCTTTTGCGTACATCTTAAAGCATGGACTCTACACACAGATTCATAAATTACGGTCCTGATGAAGAGGAAGAGCATGTTTACCTGCTGGTGTCAGCGCTCTTGGCCCTTGCACCACCTCCTGCCCTGCGAGAGCCACTGGAGGAGGAGGAGCCCAGTGAATCAGACGATGAACTACTGATACTATCACTGTCTTGGCCCCGCCCCCAAGATGCTGCAGCCCATCCACCCCGGAGCGGCCGCCGGCTGAGGGTGGGGGAACTGTCTGACGTTGTCTCTGGAGCACTACTGTCGATACTCGCCATGCCTGTCCAAACAACAGTTTCATTCAATCATGTTTTGTATCCATAATGAGTGTGTGCTGGGTCACTTTTGGTGTGAGGCTGTTTCATGGTAAAGTCTGAAGCGCCTGTCCAATAATATTGATGTAAGTTAAGTTGTTTCTCTGAACAAGGGATGCAGTGTTCTGTATGAAAAATAAAGACATTGCAAAGTATGCACCTGTGTGTTTCTTCTTTTGTCGGACAGGTGAGCCCCAGCAGCGTTGGCTGTATCCACAACGTAGCCCCAGTGCCAGCCGACTGGGAACTGTAGCCTCAAGCTTAAATGGAGCTGTTTCATTCTGCTGGTCATTTGATGATGGAGGCCCATCTGAAACTGCAAGGACAGAAAATTAAGTCAATCCTTTTCAAATCAAAAAAGAAATATTTCAAATATTGGAAAATTTCTTAAGTTCCATCAAATAAAGATTTACAATACAGAAATGTCCAACTTCTATAAAGTATGTTAATTTATACACTCAATACTTGGTTGGAGCTCCTTTACTACAAATTACTGAATCAGTGCAGCGTGGCATGGATGCGATCAACCTCTAACTGTGCTGAGGTGTTATTGAAACTCAGGCTGCTTTGACAGCAGCCTTCGGCTCATCTGTTTTGCTTTGGGTGCTTCTCATCTTCCTCTTGTCAATACCTCGAATGGCAGGGGTGTCAAACTCGTTTACATCCCAGGCCACATCAGCATTGTTTGCCCTCAAAGGGCCAGTTGTAACTGTAAGACTATAAATGTAACGACGCCTAAAGATACTGTTAAATCATTGTCTCTGCATTGGATTATTATTTATTCTATGTACAAATATTGTACATGCCTTTACCTGAAATAAAATATATGTAGGCACATTGCTGTGTTAATATAACCTAAATTATAACATTATATTATGCTATATTAGGTAAATCCCAATAATTTATCAGATTTGGAAACACACATCTCTCGCGGGCCACATAAAATGATGTGGTGGGCTGAATTTGGCCCGCAGGCCTTGAGTTTGACACGTGCTGTATGGGGTTCAGGTTTAATCAAGCACAGTAATATCATGGTCAGCAAACCATTGGTAGTAGTCCTGCTGGAAAAGGAAATCAGTATCTTCATAAAGCTTGTCAGCAGATGAAAGCTTGAAGTGCGCTAAAATTTCCTAGTAGACGCTGTGTTGACTCTGGACTTGATAAAACCTGGTGGACCAACACCAACAGATGACATGGTAGCCCAAATCATTACAGACTGCTGAAACTTCACACTGGACTTCAAAAACCTTGGATTCTGTGTCTTTCCACTCTTTCCACTCTCACTCTAGACTTTGGTTCCTTGATATCCAATTGAAATGCAAAGTTTACTTTCATCTGACAAGAGGACTTTGGAGCACTGAGCAACAGTCCAGGTCTTTATCTCCTTAGTTCAGATTCTGACGTCATCTCTGGTTCTGGCAGCTCTTGATGCACTTACACCAGTGCATCAAACAAAAAAAGGCTTGACATATTTCACTTTGCGTGTAATGAGTCCAGAATATACGACATTTTCACTTTGTTAAATAACAGCTGGAATATACTAAACTTTTTTTTTTTTACAATGTTTTAATTTTGATGCACAAGTACTTTTTTTTCAACCAAAACGAGAACATGCACTGTAGAGAAGGCTGGCTGCACAGTGAAAATACACCAAGTCAAATAATTGTTTGACAATTAAGTTACTGTGGATGTTTTACAGTGCAAAAAGACAAGAGACAGGGTGGCAGAAGTGGAATTTCTCACCATGCTCTCTGTTCTCAGCAGTACTCTCCCCTGCTGGACTGCTCTGCACTGTGTTCAGTTCAGCCTGAGGAGCCACCTCCTCACCAGTAGGCGCCACAGCAGACGAAGAGCTGGAGGAAGAGGCTGCCAAATTGCTTGCAGGGGAAGATGAGGGGGCATGTTTGGAGACACCCCCTGTAGCTCCGCTCACCCCACTGTGGCTGGTGGCAGTATGCTTAGACGGGCTGCGCTGACTGCCAGCTGCTGGCTTGCTTGAGTAGAAGGAGCTGAGAGTCTGGGGCTTGTGGGTCTGACTTTCCCTGTCCAACAACTTATCTAGTATCTGAAGAATGGAGGAGCACAGGAAAGAGAGAACACAGATGGTAAGAAAAACATTAACATTTAACATACATTGTATGTGTGAGATTCCCGTGTTATTTGTTTGTCAGAATCAGTGTATACACATTTTTCTATTTGATGAGATTTCACAGAGTAAATGTAAGTTCATGTCATTCATCTTCTTTGGAAACTATGAAGAGCACACTATAATGTTTTCTGATACTGGGTCATCATCAGCTGAATGTTGTTCACTGAGCCTGGACAACTGTGTCAAATACATTTGGTACTAATACCAAAGGAGGTCACAATGATTAGTGCAAATACAACACACAATATACAGTGTATCTGTATTAATGATTAGTCTCCCTTAAGCAGCCTGTTCTGTAGTACATAGCTATCTGACTGCACTTCACTATTATTCTGCTATACGGAAAAAAAAACACTCTGGCCTATTTGTATTTCTTTGAACAAATAACAATCGTCATGGACAGAGCTTAATGAAGGACGTGGCTTTGGTGTTCCCTCAAAACAGTGATGGGTGGAATTGTTGTGGAACGTCTGCATGCAGGGAATGGCATTAAAACTGAAAATTCACTGAAAACAGGTTCCTTTATGCAAAATCCAAATCCTCTGCAAAAAGATCAAGTGTAGTAGACTGCTAATCTTGATGTTGCTGTTGTTTCTTGGAACAAAGAGAATTTGAAAACAGCAACACGCAGATAGTGGCAGGAGAGTAAGAAGTCACAGCTTTAAAACTGCTCTAACTAATGTTGTAGCCACTGGGAGCAGCAACTGAAGCTGTACAGACTGTCACAACTTTCCCAAATGTTTCTTTATTGATAAGGACAGTATACATGAATCAATATTTGTATATTTGAGAACTGATACGAAATTCTTAATAAACAGAAGCCTATGTAAACATTCAACAGACAAAGAGCAACAAGTTTAAGCTGTTTTTGTTGTCTGTCCACATAAGTCATGCGTGTCCTTTTAGCTCTGTTACGGTCGTCATCTGCTCCTCAAGAAAATATCTGTCTTTCAGCTGCTATATGGTCCACTGTGGGTGTATGACTCCTATATTCCTTTTTCATCCATAGAAGCCATTTCCTGCTCTTGTGTTCTGTAAAAAGCTCTTTGTGTTATTTCTATGATAAGTTTAAAAAAATGATTAAAATCACATGTGTACACTAAGACACGGTTTGACTCTTGTACTCGAACTGCAACCCTTGCGCACCTCACAATGGTGATAACCTTTTTGGTCCCCCAAAAAATCTGAAAGGGCTGGCTTTTTATTGCAAATTCTAGGGCTGCAATTATGTGCATTGGTCCTGGACTTTTGGTCCACAATGTTTATTTCAGTTTGATGTTTCTTCAGTTCAGCTAACTCTGTGAGCCAAACAAAAGCATGCTAGCAGGGTTAGCTTTGTTT